CGGCCCTCCCACGAACGGGCTCCCGCGGCTCGACAGCTGCCCGACGGGCTGGCGGGCTGCGGACGTCGACAGAGCCCGGCCGGAGGCATCCAGCACCGCCATGCGCGCAGCTCCGGCGCGGATCGGGGCATCCCCCAGCCAATCTCGTGCTGGGGGCCCGTGGCAATGATAAATCCCGTGCAGGACCGTGACTCGGCGTTGCGCCTGGACTGGGCACCGCTGGCGTCCCTGCCCGCTTGCCGAGAGGTGTCACCCGGCTCGTTTCCTCCCAGCCGTGGTTTCCCACTCTTTGACCTCTGCTGCCTGGGGTCCGGGGATGGAGGAGAGAGGAAGGGCATGGAGTGAACTTCCAGCAACAGCCTTCAACTCTTGGAGGAGGACTTCAGAGAAAGATAGTTGGAATAGTGATACCTTCTGTTTTCTAGCAAGGTCTGAACTCCAGGGGAAAGGCACTGTGTAAACCCAAGGAAGCATGTATTATTCACGCTGAGGTTTTGCTGTGTGCAGACTTTGAGGGTTTTACACACATTCTCTGTTTCACAGCATCCTTGGGAGACCAGCTAGAGTGCCCCGTGGCATTGTCCTCCTTTCAAAGACAGTTGAAGTAGAGAAAGGTGAAACAGAGGAGCCCCTCGCTCCTGCAACAGCAGGCTGTCACATCTCACAGACCACAAAAAAAAAAAAAAAAAAAAAAGGAGAGGGGTGTGTGGTGTGTGTGTTAATGTCCTTCTTGCAACCATTCCCCGGGAAATTTCTTTTTTTCTGATAAAAAAAAAAGTCGCTTTCTTGCGACTTCTTAGATTTTCGTAGCGTGGATAGACTGTCACCAAAACTGTATCAGATCTAAAGCCTCTAAGTTATCCAGACTATAGTAGAATATATTTGCAAAGCAGCAGTATCTTACACTGGCACTACCAGATGTGACCCCAGAGGTGTTTGACAATCAGCAGGTATAGAAAAAGAGTTCGGTTTCTTTTGTATTTAAGTAGGAGAAAGACTTTTGCATAGTCACTTTAATTAAGAGTTGGGCCTCCTTGCTATTTGCAAAATAAATGACTTTCTTTCCTTCTCTCTTCACATATTACCACAGAACTCTTGGGGGCAAAGAGAAAAGGAGGTTGAGAACAGTAGCTCAACTTGGTCTTGCCCTGTTTCTTAAGGTCCAGAGCCCCTTCAGTCACTAACCCTCAACAAACTTTAGTTGCCAGTCCTCAGCAAACAGGTGCCTCCTCCAGGTTTAACTCTGGTGGGCAACCTGGAGCGTCCGAGGGCATCATGGGCAGACTTATTCTGAGCTGGGCTGCACCTGAAGGTTTGTCAGGTTGCAGCCAACTCTTCGCCAGTTGAAGCTATGTGCCTGCCTTGGGGAAAACTAACTAGTCTGTGTTGGGGGGATGGCTGTTTGAAACAGATACACACAATGGCTTCTCCGCAGGCAGGCTTTGTGAATATTCCAAAGCAGACGGTGCAGGTCCCATAAGAGATAGGCATATGGCTAGTGACCCCACACACACAATCACAGTGGCTCTAGTTGGCAAGAGCATATTGTGAGGCTCGCTGTGTTGCCCCAAAAGAGCCATTTCTTAGAGAATAGAGCTTGAGGACTCCCCAAGGTCACTAGAACTATGAACTGTATGGTCTCAGCCACAGCTAGAGAGGGACCATGCTAGCTGGGAAGGAGGGTGCGGTGGGCTTCTAGAGACATCCAAAGAGGATCCCTGACTGGAGTAAGCTGGTGCCTTAATAAGCCCTGAACAAATCTCTGCCTTTGTGAGCAAAGCTCAGATCCCACAAATGCTGGGTGCCGTAAATCCAGGTCACCCACTTCTTCAGGAAGACCTCAGTGGGTAGAAAGAGAACTCTAGCCCTTGGACTAGGCTTTCTGACTTCCCTACACGCCTCAAATGCTGATAAGGAAATGGGCAGGTCCCAAACGCTGGAGGTCTAATCCAAGAGAGAAGCTGGTCTCCAAGATCCCTGGGCAGCAGCACAACCAGAGCTCTAAAAGCTTTGCCATCAGAGACCAAAGGCCTGCTCTCTCGGGTGCTAGCTATGCGGTCATGATGAGTGTTTCACACGCCTCAGTTTTTCACCTCTGCAGTGGGAACAATATGTAACTCTCAGGGCGAAATCTCAGTGGCTGGCGCATAGTAATCACTGGTTAGGGTTCATGAGCATCTGCTGTGTTGACCTCTGGTTTTATGAAAGGAGTAAAGATGCTTCAGTGTTTCAGCAAATTTACATAGAGCAAAAGTAGAAACTTGGGCGCAGCGCCTCCGTCCTTTGCTAGCTCCTAGTCTTCTCCCCTACGCCTAGACTCCCTGAGCTCCATTTTTCTCTCCTTTACTCTGCCTTTCTCTCGTCACCTACATCCTGTGATCTCCTCCTTTCCGTCCTTCTCTCCAGCCCCTGCCCTGTCCAGCCTCTCCCAGCCCAGCCGCTGCCCGCTGCCACCAGCAGAGGAGCCTGCTGTGCTGGGACTTCCCTTGTACCGTCCACTTGGGACTTAATCACATGCTCTCTCGTTTTGCGACAATCATTTCCTAAACCTCTCCCTCCACCGCCTTCCACTAAATTCCAAATTCTTCTAAGGCAGCGGAGGCCAGGCCATATTTACAGCCCTCAACAGGACCTCCACAACCATATATTTGCTATATATCACCCCAGGAGGGACAGACTGATGCAGGATGGGATGATGATGAGTATCAAGGGAAAGAATGTTTTCGTTTGGTTTTCAAAGTAATATCCGAATTGATCAGGGGAGACAAGCCCGTAGGGTCGGAATCACTGAACTTGGTTGGCACGTGAGTGTCCATTTCTGGGGGACTAAAAGGCCCTCCCTGGCCCAGTGCCTCCTTGCTGCCATTTCTTGCAGGGATCCGGCCTTCCTGGTGCAGCCCGCCGCTCTGGAGCCTCGGGGCTGACTGTGGCTGTCAGGGCAGCTGCGGCAGCATCTGGGGCCCACCTGCTCGTCTAACAGCCTTAGCTGCTCTCGGAGGCGAGGCTACCCCCACTTCCTCGTTCTCATAGGGGCTTCCTCCCCTTCTCAGGAGCGGTCCAGGACGGTGGCTCTGAGCCCCTTGCCTCACTGCACCTGCGATTGGTAGGGGCAGTTTCTGGCATCCCGGGGCTAAGGGCTGTTTGCGATCGTGCGTGCGCTTTTGCACTGGCTGGGCTGGGCTGTGCGGGTCCCGTCACACCCCCACAGGAGCTGGCACGCCAACGCATGACCTCTGCAGACATCCTCCAGGCAGGCTGACCTTTGCTCATCTTCAAGGGCATTCACTGGCTTTTGTCACTTTCAGTCAAGGCTCCTTGAGCTGCTCAGGTGAGGGCTCCTTGCCAGCCCAGTCCCCAACCTATCGGGAGCCCAGTTCTCTCTTGAATGAAACAGAGATAATGACCTTTGCTGTGTTTCCTCCTGGGACTATTATGGATCAAATGTAGACAACATCTCCAGAACGGATCGGTGGTTCTCCTATTTATTTTTCTTTCCTACACGGAGGGTTTGTTTTGTTACTGGATAGCTTGTGTGTCCAACACTAAATTAAATGCTTCGTGTGAGAGAGGAGATTTGAACAATTAGAAAACTTGTCTTGTACACCAGAAGACCGCACACCATGGAGGAGGATCACAATGATGTGACCGAGGGAATAACTTCCAGGTGGTGAATTCCTGGAAGTCACCATGGCAGTGAGAACTGGACACAGATTTCCCAGATGTCGGCTCGGCGGGAAGGAAGTTCTGTTTGTCTGGCACACTCAGTGGGCACTGAATTGCTGGATAAAATAGTGCAGTGGGGACCTTCTTGATGGTGCAGGGGTTAAAGACTCA